GGTGCGTAAGCCTCCCTCTCTTGTACCATGCAAAGATGTAGGGGCCTTCATTCTTTACCGTTTTTACCAAGACGTTTCGTGTGAAGGTTCTTAATAGCAGCTAAAATAAACGGCAGTAACATTTGTAATATCGCTAATTTTCTACTACTTTTTTGTCAATTAAGTAGCGAGCATCATCCATCACTGGAATGTTGCACAGGTTTCTTAAATTTTACTCATTTCATGAATGCATAACTCATCCCTCAGGCATAAATAAAATTAGGGAATATTTTTTCAGAGAGCAAAGTCAATTGTAAATATTTTAAGTTGACTTTTGGTAACTTTATAAATCTATATTAAGCTGTCTGAGCTGACCATGCTACTGAACAGAAAAAAGTAGAGAAACTCAAATAAAGTGTTGGAATTAGGCTGGTTCCGTTTGAGAAAACAATCTATCAATAGGACACGTTTACCAGAAAATCTCTATCACTCTATCCTAAGGTTTAGGACCGATTTACCCCCTCTTCATTAGTTACTGTCTTTACTAAGCCTTGAATCTATTTTCTTCTACCATGGATTACGATGGTTGAAACCCTTCCGCACCCTGACAACAAAAAATAACGATAAGATTTTGCTTAACTGAATAAACCACAAAAATGCACTACAATTCTATTTCTTCGTATCTCTCAAGAGCGTAAATTGCAAACGGATTTACTAAGCCCATTCTGCAGCAGCGAATCTCTGAGCAGCTCAGAAGGCAAGTGTTCTTTCATTTTCTCAGTAGATTTCAATTTTGTATTCATGATTAGGTCTCCATGACAGCATATGCTTGCTAGGGCTCACTTTCACTGGTCGTTTGCCTTCTAGAAGTCGAGAAGAAGTCATACTTGTCTCAAGCCGCCTCCACTTTTATCTCCCTTTATTTAATACCTACTTTTCCTACTTCGCAAGTGATCCTTTGATTCCTTCGGCTGACAGTAGGAGGAGAAGGAGGCGGAGGAGGAGAAAATAGGTTTTTCCTCCATTCCGCCCTCAAGTCCTGCCTAAGCTGTTTTATAAATCACTTTTATGGTAAGTCCCTCCTAGCCTTCAAAAATATCACTTTATCCTGATTAAGTGACTAGCCTCACCTCTTTTCGTACGAGTGCCTACCGTCTGAGGGTAAGGTGGATGGTGATATGACCAGTGATACGAACACTGCAATAATCACTTAGGAGTGGAGGAATGGATGGTATATTGAGGGATTGAGTGACACAGTAAACAATCCCAAATGCACAGGTCTTCCTTACGAAGCAGCTAAAAGAAGTGAAAAATAACCTCGTGGTTCCTGCAACTTATTGTCAGCTGATAACCCGTGAGTGGAATGTGATTGTCAGCCAATTGTTTATTTGTTAAAACAATCCTCTCTTTCCTGTTGATGCGAGTGTGAGGTGAATGCTACACCACTGACAATAAACTTTACGAAAAGTTCTTTTCCATGCACTAACCTTGTTGATGGTACATGGAAGTAACGCACAAATCAGCGTTAATAGGAGGAATACAAAGTCTTTTGGAATCCGCCGCATTCTTTTTTTTGGTTGTAATAACATTGCTTGGTTTCTAAAACCATTTCTGTCCCTCCACCGCACCTCATCAAAATTCTATGCCAGAGGGCTCATGGGTATCCTCTGCAGCCACGTCTTTGAAATCTGGATAAATTCACTTTGTGAAACAGACAATCTGGAATAAAATTCATTGAATTTTACCTGTTATTTGTTAGTAGGAAAGCCCGAAGTAAGCGGCAATTAGCAGCTGCTACAATAGGGAGTATCGTGACGACAGGGAAACCCAAATCCATCCTATGTGATGCACATAGGACAAGTCAGTGTGGCTTGCCATATACAGAGCCCCAAAAAAGTTTGTTAAGCACCTAACAATTCCAAATCTAAGCTTAAAGAACTAATTAGAAATGGAGGAGTCTTTTATTGGGTACAGTACGATTTGGTGAAGTTGGAGACAAATCAATAATTTGGAAGCCTCCACTGCTTTTTCGTGGTAGATTTGAAGCCAAGGAGGCAGCTTATATTCAGCTATTTGCAATCATGAAACATCCCTGTTTAGAGCATGAAATTGCGATTTCCTCTGACTTCTAGACTAGATGCTACGATGCATTGAATCACAAGACATGCATGAACCAAATCCATTTGATATACGTTTTGCTACTTATTTCTTATAAGCGACAACTGGTCCCATTGCAACGTCAAAGGATATGGATAATTCACATCCATTCAGAATGGATGGAAGCAACTGATTTCACTACAACTCATTATTTTGACATCATCTGTAGTAACTTCATCACTGCCTGCAACAGCCTGTGGTGAATTATTTCCACGACAGCACTTCTCCAGACATTAACCAAACAACTTAATACACATGGGCAAAGGCTACACTTCACTCGCTGCCGTCCAATAATGCCGATGGCTAAGCATTCAAATCACAGTGCTATAAAGTTATAAACTGGAGCTTTGTGTGGATAAGTTTGGATCCTTACTAGCTTCCAGTCAGCTAATCATTGGACGAAGACTTCACAGCTGATGTTTTATGGGTGAGGTATATGTGTAGTGTAGACCGTCTCAATGTTTCATAGTGATGCCATTTACGCGTACTTCAGGTAAATGCTTGATTTTGATCGCTTCGTGATTATCAGCACATCTCAAGTACATCTACCCACGATGTTAGCCAATCAGGAGAGAGTGGGCGTTGTTTGGACTGTTGACGGGGTAGTCAGGATTTGGAAACTTCTAGAACCCCATTCAGGATCTCAAAATCTTAATGTTTCAGAAAGGAAAGAGTATTTGTTATCTTTTAAATAGGTATGTACTGTAGTAGGTTTTTATGCCGATAGAGACTGTTATATTCTATTGATACTCAAGCCAAACCGCGACTTTTGTAGATTTGGTTTCCAAGACAGTCATCTCTGCAACAGAAAAAAATGCTGTGTTTTTCTGTCCTTTCAAAAAACGGACAAGCGCCTTGAAATGAGGGGTGCGCTCCAATCCATATGTTTGTCAACGATCATGCGGTGTCCGTAGTTGTCATGGAAGAAGGGTCCTCTCTTGTACTATTTCACAACAGCTCATACATCAATCAGGCATTCTGGGTCAAGCGCTCCAAGCGCTGAATGTTTTATTCGCATGGATGATCCCCCAGGCTGTACCTGGCATCACCACTGAGTGATGCATATAAGACCGCTACTCCATACACATACCAACCTTATCGCCGTTGTCCGCCATGTAAATAAACTGCACCAAGATTGGACAAACTTGTCATTCACTATGTGCGACATCCCATCCTCGAGACAGCTCGCTCTTAGCTTGCAACACGTTCTGGGTCATCTTAAGCACCCGTCTTGCCCTCTTCTGTAACTCTAAAGGCGCATCATGAATGGATGAAAAGTGAGGAATAAAGGCAGCAAAATTGTGGAAATTTCAGGCTGCCTGCAAAATATATCCCTCATCTTCATCAAAAGGTTCTTGAAGAGTAAACCTTTCTACTTAGACATAAAAAGGTGATTTTATATGCGTCTTTAAATTCGGATACTGTTTCATTTTGTTGAAGAGCCGCCTAAATTTAAACAAAAACAAATGGTGACTAATAAGAGTGGATGGGCAACTAATTTTCTTCTTTCAGCGCCTGCCAGTTTAAAGAAGGTTTGCTAAAGTCAAATCGTAATGATGAAAGCCGATGAAAGGCAATGCTTTTGAGCATGAGCCAGATTCTGCTCATCTACCTTTTGCCCGTGAAAGAAGGATCCTTGAGCTCTTACCCTCTTCTTCCGCAAAGTGACTAGCTACGCTGCCTCCATATATCAATTATCTAAGTTTCCGTTTGATTTTGAGTCCGATCTCATGGAATCAAGAAGACAGGTTTTACCAAGAACGTGATCGGATTCAGCGTATCCTCTCTTGGATCATGCCGATTTTCATTTCGTTCTCATCCCAATCTCATCGTTTCGTCAACACAACCTCCTCTCCCCTCTCTCCTCCTCCTTCTTATCCTCCAACCCAAAATTCTCTCTGCTCTTTAATGGCTTCAGCGCAGTGTACAGAAACGATACCAAAGTATTCTGAAGCAAAAATAGTCAGAAATTGTGACAAATGACCGCTTGTCTAACTACTACCTTCCTCGTGCGCCTATTCTTGTTCTCCATATCTTGTCAAACTCACTTCCAGGTAGCTTCCAAATCCAACTCTTGATTTCCAGCTGCCCTTCAGTAAGTTTATCTTTCTTTTGCTCATTCATCAACGTTCTTTGGTTGTCGCTGTTTTATTCAAGTGATGGAAGAAACGTTTGTTTTGCGAACGCTCCTCATCAAGAAATTATTAACGCTTTATAGCTAACCACAGAGTCAAATACACTGTGCTTGATGTATGTGGGTTAGTCAAACAAAGAAAGGATTTGAAGGGACATGTTGGATTAAGGTGCGTGGGGAGTAGGGATCTTTAGAAGAGAATATTGTGAGTGTTGATTGAGCACTCTGTTAGTTTAAGGAAAAATAAAACCGATGGACGTAAGACCATGGAGCCTTGGACTCAGTTCACTTTCAGCACAGTTAATTTTACCTTCCAATGCTATTATCATTTTACGGGGAGAGATCACTCTCCGATTTCGGAATAAAGGCCCATGAGAAATAATATGAAATCGAAGTCCCTCTAGCCTTGTCGACCTGATAAAGTCGTAAAATACTGAACCAGCTCCCTAATCTTAGCACATCGCTTACAGAAGAGATTCTTTTATACACACACACCCCTGATTAGTTAATCAACAGCAAGATGCCCGTAATGAGGTACCCAGACTAGTATAACACATCCATCCCTAACTAAGCAACGGCTTTGCACTCAAAAATTTCTTTTTAAACTGGTCATCACTGTAATGTTGTAAACAATTACGCAAGTGAAACGCCTCCGTCAATTAAAATGACGTATTTCCATAAATGACAGAAGTAACTGGCTCATCAGTCACATTTGATGCTAAAATTGCAACCAGTAGAAATTACAAGTGACAATGTTCAAACAACCACAGCTACAGAAGCGCCCCCAATCGCAATAATAGACATTTACGAAGTGCTTCTTATTTCCCAGAATTAGCCAACTTCAAGGTCGAAGTTGGCGGCATGGTCTATTTAAACAAATCGTTTATTGGTATAACTGATCTCAACTATGTTTAATCCCCAAAAATTTAAACTAAACTGTTCTTTATTATGCTTTTGTAAAAAAAATTGATACATTATTTACTTATTTTTACTTCTATCTACTCAGTTTTGTTTCTTAAAATTTGATCTACAACAATTATTCAAGTTTTAGGAGGCATTAAACAAATTTGTATGTTTCACAAAATCCTAATTTAAGTAAAATAATTGTTTGCTACTGCTATCTCAAGAAATGGTTAAGACATTTCCGTCGTTTCGAGGATACGATAGTTGGAAAAACACGTCAGCAAAAAAAGGATATAATAACTTTACATTGGCTTTCTTTACTTTCAAAATCGTAGAGCTGCATTTTAGACAGATCGGAGAGCAAATCGCGGGTGTCAAGAGACTTCAAAACCCGAAGTGACACATTTTATGACTATTTAATGACAAGCCATTGATGCAGATGGCTACACGCATCGCCTCTATCCAGCTCTATCAACATCATAAGTACTACAGAGGCGTAAAAACTAAGCACAAAATGAAAAATTTCTTACTTTATTTTATATGGCTGGCTACAGTGAGATGCTCAAAGTTGCAGAGGATAGAAGAATGTAGGGAGTTGTTTATATGCATGTACGTTATTCGAAATAAAACCGGATAACGGAATTTGAAGTATTTATGGAATATATCACAGAAAAGGAGTCACA